AAAGAAATTAATTTAAATCAAATATTTTCTATTAGGCCCAAAGTTTCCTAATCGAGCCCAATTTACGGTTGAAAGCTTAATTTTATCCCCAAAAAAAATTTCAAATAAAATAGGGTGTCTACAGAGATAATAATCAAATAAAAAGATTATTGGGCTTATTATGCAGCTAAATAAACAAGAAAAAGAAATAATATAATATGTTCAAAATATAGGTACTATGGATACATTATAATAGAGTGGGATCAAAAAAGGCTTAAACAGTCCAAAAATTACCTAGTTTTTTCTCTTGAGTCAAATATAGTATAGGATTTCACCTGCAAGGGTTGAGTAAATGAATTTTAGAGTACTTATCTTAATCATCCAATTTCATGCAAATCCATATTTCATAAACTTTCACAAAACAAAGCATTTTATTAAAAGAGAATAAGAACATATGTACAAAATTATATCCGAAAAGAAACATGGTTTAAGAATTCTTTTTAAGTTCTACCATACTCATAATTAAACTTCATATCAAACTTAAGTCAATCTTGAAACATTTATGCAAAATAAACTAAGTGTGCATAACAATGAAATCTAGCAAGTCAATTGGTTTGAAAGCAAAAATGGGTTCACAATTTTCAAAAAGCATTTAAGAAAGTAGTTTCTTTTCTACATTTAAATTGAACAATATATTAAAAGCAAAAGCAAGGGAAAAAAAATACTCTATAAAATTTGCTTAAGGTTGAATCTTCACTTAAAATGAGTCTTTTCCTTACTTCACTTCATTCCTACAAAAACAAACTCAAACAAAAATATTAAAACATCAAAATATTAAAACATCAAAACACACATATCCTAATACAAATAAAAAAAACATAAATCATAAAATAAACTTGGGTGCCTTCCAAAAAATGCTTTTTGGTCAAGTTTAGCCATTTCTAAATATATCAAAATCATCTTATCCCTTTGAAGGGATTTTACCTTGTTGCATCCTTCTCTGAGGAAGATATAAACAGGACTGGTCTTAGGAAGGTGTACTAACTTTCCTAGGTTAGAGATCGACGATAAACTGAGCTTAAGTTCATTATGGCTTTGGTATTACTAGAGGTAGGTGTTGCCAAGTGGTTTTGCATCAAGGGATCAAGATGTTTAGCTACTGAGTTAGAATCCTAAATGTTTTCTTTTACCTCTACTACATTTACATTATCTTTATCCCTAAGAATACCATACCTTTCAGTTACAAATTGTAATTTCTTGTTTGTAAACTTAAGGTAAGGTTATGGTTATATACATTAATTAAGGCCTTGACAGTCAATAAGAAATGTTTTCTTAATAATAATCAAGTTTCATAACCTTTCATATCTAATATAGCAAAGTTTACAGAGAGTGCATACTTGTTAACTTTCATAAGCATATTTTTTAATATCCCTTGTGGTTGCTCAGTAGACTAGTTAGCAAATTTTAGGTTGAATCTAGCAGGCTTCAACTCTTCACAACCTAACTATATAAAAATTTTAAAGGTATTAAGTTTATGCTAGATTCAAGATCATAAAGAGTTTTATCAAAATTTAATTATCTAACTTTGCAAGAAATAGTAAAACTCCTGAAACTTTTTACTTTTGGGGTAAGAATTGTTAAAGTTCAAGTTGTAATCTTTTACAATGTGACATTCTTTTAAATTCTTTAAGTAGCTCTTTAGGAATAGGTCTTAAGGTAGTTGGTTGCCTACATTAAAACATTACCTACATTCTTACAATCATTCTTGGCTTTGTTTGAACTTTCTCTGTATTCCACCTCTGAACTACCTCTTTAGGCTCCAATTGAATGATTTCTAAGAATGCTCTTTTTATTTGCAATGGCATTTGTTTTTCTTTAGTAGACTTTTCAATATTTTTTAAGATCTTTCTTATAGTCCATCTCAACATTTTCTTTCTTAGGATCTTCCTCATAAAGTTCAATGTTCTCAAGGGCCTTTAGTTGCTAAGGGTTAAAATCCTCTAAAATTTCTCTTTCAAACCTCAATAGTTCCTTATCTTCAAATATTATCTCCATAAAGTCTATTTTAGGTTATTTTACAAAGTTAAAGAGGTTTACCACTATTGGTTAATCCAAGATAATCATCCTTTTCATCAAAGTTATCCAATCCCAACATTTTTCAAAGAATAGATAGCATTACAAGCTTCCTTGTGTTATCATTTAGGATTGAACTCAATATTGCTGGGTAAGATACCTACAAAGTGGTGGCTATGGCTTGGGCCTAACTTAATCTATATAATTTTCAAGGTTCTTGATTGATGCAATTTGGCTTTGGATATTTGCATTATTAGCTTGCATCAATTGGGTCAATATATCCATAAAACTTGCTTTCTTTTCTCAAAGAGAATTGTAAGTTGGTGGGTTAAGGCAAAAGTATTATTTTGGGTGTTGATGGATTGGTGTTTGGGTTGATTCCAAAAAAAATTAGAGTGATTTCACATCAATGGTTGTAGGTGTTGCTATATAGATTATAATTGAGCTTGAGTTGTTTAGCTAAATTGGACAAGTTCTATCCTAAATTTATATTTTTCCCTTAAATAAGGTCTTCAAGATATCACATGAAATAAAAGGATTTTGGATTACATTTACTTGGTTGGATTGGGAGTGGGCTCTTAAGTCTTTTATCATTTTGGTTAGGGCAACTAATTGGGAGTTTATAGAGGTGATTGCATCAATTTCAAACAAACCAATAGATTTTTTACTTACCTTTCTTTCTATGCCCCATTGATAGTTGTTAGTAGCCATTTCTTCAATCAACTCATTGGCCTCTTCAGCAGTTTTATTCATGATTGCCTTTCCAACAGTTGAGTCTAAGATGGTTTTCATGGTTAGTATAAGACCATTGTAGAAAAACTAATTTTATAACCATTAGGGTAATCCATGATGTGGGCATTTCTTTAACAACTCTTTGAATTTTTCCTATGCATCATATATATGTTTCACCATCTACTTGCATGAATGTTGTGATCTTATTTCTCAACTTGGCTATCTTAGTTAGTGGAAAAAACTTTGTCAAAAATTTTTGTACCAAGTCATCCCATATTGTGAAAGAGCTAGTGGTATGGTGTCAACCAACTTTTTGCCTTGTCCCTAAGAGAAAAAAGAAAAAGTCTCAGTCGAATAACATCATCAGAAATACCATTATAATGAAAAATATCACATAATTCAAGAAAATTTAAAAGATGAATGTTAGGATCATCACTATGTAATCCTTCAAACTACATAGAAGTTGGGACCATTTGTATTATTGAAGGCTTGATCTCAAAATTATTTTCTTGAATGTCTAACATTTGAATGGATGGTTGGAAACCATCAAAATTGGGAACTATATAATCTTTCAAAGTTCTTTGAGCTTCATTATTTGCATTGGTCATTGGTACAGGTGCAGGTGGCATTGTCTACTTTTTTCTTCTTTTTCTAAAAGTTCTTTCAATTTTTGATCCATTGGAGTTAAATTAACACTTTTGGATTTGTGCATACAAATAAAAAATTATCAAAGAAGGATAAATTCAAATAAAAGTAAAAAAGTTTAGATTATAAAAGTTTAAAAAATCCTTATTGATATTGAAAACACCACTATAATCTCCAGTAACAGTGTTAAAAACTTGATTGTTGATTTTTATATAGCATGTAAGTACATAGATTAAGTAATAAAATGGAAGTATTCTAGTTTCATCTCCCAAGAGATTATAGATTGTAATGTTAGGTAGCTTTCAAGTACTAAAGTTGAGATCTCAAAAATCTTATAACTAAACAACTGTTGATTGCAAAATAAGAAAATATAAGAGTAATGTAGGTTTAGATCTTGACTTCACCAATTGTCACTTAGGAAGTAAAAGAGTATAGCCACATTAGATCTAAAAGAACAAGAATGAAAATCATAAAAACAAAGAAAACTTGAG